ATGGACGAAGGTGTTGAAACGCTTGCACTGACGCATGGTCATCTTTCGTCTTTGCATCATCAAGTTGCAGTAGGTGTCATTGCCACCTGTCTCCTCAGGGTCCACATGCTGCCGCAGGAATCGGTGATACATACGATCCTGGCCGTAGGAGGGCTGCACCAGCCCCAGCCCCAGCAGGGTCAGCAGCAAGAGCAGAAGCAGTGAACGGGTCCTTTGGAGAGCCATCACGCCTTGGAGATGCCTAGATGGAAACCCAAGGGGCAGGAGAAAGGAAGGTGAGATGCGGCACTGGGAAGAGGTGTGGGGAATGGCAAATTGACATTGCCTCAACTCTAGTCTCCTCTTTCCTCCTTATTTGTACCAGTTCCCCCACTCTTGACTGTTCACTTTTCTCGTCTTGCTTTCCCAAGAGCGAATAGTTTGCAAAACATGTTTTTCTCTGAAAATTAGAGCCCATCTCTTTTATGGAGAGAACTCGCTTCATCGAGTACAGCGACTCAGGACAGACACTGACCATGTGGTTCTCCAGTGCGTCTGGCCTCTGTGGTCAGAGAGGGAACAGGAAGAAACGGCAGATCTAAGGGAAACTGGAGTTGACCATCTCTTGAGGTAATTCTCTGGTCATAGGATCTTTGGAGTTTTTGGTACTCTGGAGACTCCGATTTCCGAAAGTTTGGATACACTCATGATATGTCAGAGCAAGTTTAAGAACTGATTTTCATTCCTTACATCTGGAACTGAGGAAGGTGCAGAAAAGAGGCCAGAGTAATACTGGGGGTAGCCTTTCCTCTTCTATGGCTGTTCTTCCTGTGGTATTAAAATCAGGTCCTTTTGGAAATCCTGTTCATCGTCTATAAAGAGCCCCTACGAAAGCAGAGTACCTAGCCACTGTGATTTGAAGGTAGTGAATATTGGCTAAATAAATGAATGTAATGAGTGAGCTTGTGAACAAATGAAATGAAATGGATATAGAGAGTGACGGTTCCAGTCTTGTGGAATTGATCACTAAGCTAAGAAACATTTAAAAAATAAATTTAAACAGCACAATCTCCACAAAAAAAGGACATGGATTGTGTCTTTTATTTCCCCCCTGGGTGTATATACAACCCAAAATACTAGGCCCTGGTGATACAATCTATCTATTGTCATGCATCTATCCTTGATGCTCTGCCTGTCTTGTCCTTAGCTGTTGGTAATTATCCATCGTCTCTGGTTGCAAGATCTTTGTGTTGTCCCCTCTTGATGGCGGGAAATAAACATTTGTTTTACAGAGTTAGAAATTAACAAACAGAAACCTCTGGAACAACAACAAAGAAAGCACTGTGATATGGATTAGAGAAATTGCTTTGGTGGCCTCATTAAAGAAAGGAAACCAGTTCTCTCTGGCTCTAAAATCCGTACTCTTTCCACCATCCTCTGACTGCCTCTCCCGTCCCACTTCCTAAATATTCAAGATACCAACGATATTTACGCTCAGAGTTGCTTCCCCCTAGCAACAGAATTGAATCCGGGGTGGAATAGTGTGGAAGGGGAAATGCGAGTCACTCACCACACTAGCTAGATGCTGCCCTCTGGCTGTCAGTCTGGGATTGACATGGAGTCAAACCTCGAACTCCTTGACTCTTGCTGGGGGGCAGGGCTGCCTCACGAGGGCAAAGAAAAATCATCTCCATTTCAACCTGGAGTCAGAAAGGCCCGTTTCTACACGTGCAGTCCACAATCAGCCTCAGCTAAACTCCTGGGTTGATATCTCTGGGTACTACTGTCCTTCGTTTCCAGAGATGCCGCGTCATGGTGCCGTGTCATGAGCGTAAAGGACTGAAACGGCTGAGGAGGGACCTGCAATAGGTCCCACCTAAGCCTACACTTTGGTTAGTGGTGACGACCAGGATGAAAGAGAACCATCGCTCTTTTCCATGCCACCTCCTAGGTTCACAGCTGCCTTCTGCCTCTACACAGAAAGTTTTAAAGCTCTAGGTCATTTCTTGGGCCTGTAGCTGATATGGGAAATAGAGTAAGGAAGAGAAGGAAGATGAGGAGCTGTGAGAAGGGGGCAGAAAGAAATTATGTTCAATTTACTCCTCACCCCAGCACCAAAGGATATAACATCTGAAGGCACACTTAGCACTTGGGTAATGGTTTCACCACAATGGTGTACTTTGTTTTCCCCAAATTTAATCTTGTACCTCTCATCTTGCACAGTTCTGTCTACTTTCCCTCATCCTGGTTCTTTGTGATGGAGATCATGGTTTAGCAAAATAACTGGCTACAGAGAAGACCTAAACTATTCATGCAGAGCAAACCCACGATCTCAGCCGCTCCGACCGACTGATTTAACAAGATAGCGGAAAATATTAGCCAACAGAAGTCCAATGTAAACATCAATGGGTACATCTCAAGGCTCTAGGAACAACAGAAAATCAAATGACCGCCAAATCATCCCAACACATACTTTTTGGTCAGAACACGCCTCAAAGCCTTTTTCTGCTGCACCAGATTGACTCTCAATAAGAACTAATTTGGATACCATGATCCCAAAGACTTAGCTTTGCCACATTAACTGTGTGACCTTGGGGAAATTACTTAAACTCTCAGCATATTTTCTCATAAATAAAATGAGCATAATCATAATCCCTACCTCTCAGAGATATTATAAAGAATAAATGACAAAATCGCTGTAATGTGCTTATCACAATGTCTAGCCTATAAAAAATGTTCAGTAAATGTTGGCAAAATCTTTTCACAATTTCCATTCTTCTTGGTTTCCTTTGCTTCCTTCAGTCTGATAAAAATAATGAATGACTACAGCAAATTACATATATTTTGGATCCCCTCCCCTTTATGTTGTAGAGTACTTATATTCCCAGGAAACTATAAGGCTCTTTTTTTTTAAGATTTTATTTATTTGACAGACAGAGATCACAAGTAGGCAGAGAGGTGGGGGGCGGGGGGGGGGTTGGAAGCAGGCTCCCTGCTGAGCAGAGATCCTGATGCGGAGTTCGATCCCAGGACCCTGATCTCAGGACCCTGATCCCAGGACCCTGAGATCATGACCTGAGCTGAAGACAGAGGCTTAACCCACTGAGCCACTCAGGTGCCCCTATAAGGCTCTTTTTAAGGTGAACTACTAGAATTTCTGCTCTGTCTCTAGAGAAATCTGTCCTCTCTAAATTGCATGGAATTTTCTTTCTGGAATGCCACCATTCCTTGAAGGACATGACATTTTTGAGGTTATTCTTCTCTTTTCCTTGCAAAGTCAATGAAGTACAGCTGACCAGCACTTCAATTCCTCAAATGATTCACTCCAGATAAAATAACCTGCCTGTGACTTGATATTTCATTTTAAACAGCTTTTGAAAATGAGAGAATAAGAGACCAAGAGCAAAAAGTACTAGGATTGGCTCCATAGCTGCTAGCTTCCTCTACAAGTCAGGAAGCACCTCCACCCCACTGCCATGCAATTTCCCAGGAAATAGTCATTTGTCCTAAGACTAGAGCAGAGTATGCAATGGCAATGCTATAAGCAGATGTTTGGAGAAGACACCAGTTTTCATAAATATGGTGTGATCAATGTAGCAAGGGTCCATGCCTTTGACCTTCTCTATCATGAGCTTGAGTGGGGCAATGATCTGTGTGGAAGTCACTTTGCTTCATATCAGGGTGATAGTACTGGTTGGAGAACCTGAGAAAGGATCCAAATATTCTACCAAAAACTCGTACTTATTTACTTTAAGTACTTAATCCTTACTTACTCCTTAAGGGGTTTTTGAGATTTTATAGTAAGACAGTTTTTCTAATAAGAGAGGTTTGGAAAATTCTTCTTCCTAACTACAGACAGTGTTTTCAATTTAGAACTCAAAGTGGACAGATTCATGGGTTGAGGGTACACCAGTAACCTACTTCTCCATCACTTCTTCCCAAAATCTGAACATTTCCAGCAAGGCCTAGCTCTCCTGGACAGCATCTAGATACTGGTCTATAACCTGAGTATTGAGCAACTAGGGTTTTGGGCCTACTTCAGGGCAATGTGGGCAGCAGGAGAGGCCACCATTGGGAATATGGTGACCACAATAGTTATATATTCACAAAATAGCAAAACTGTGACTTATAACTGTAATTTATTAACTACTTTCCAAATAAAATATTGAGGCAGCAGTTGATAGAAATTAGGTTAACAGGAAGTTAATCGCTTAACCTGTGGATCGTTAGTATATTTTACAAAGAGAGTATTATCAACCTAAGCGTATGTTTACTTGAAAATCAAGTCTAGTTGAGGAAGAATAAGGGATAATGTTTGGAATCTATGATCTAGGACAGTTACCAGACATTGGTCAATAAAGTAAGAAATTAAGGAAAAAATAATGTAACAATGAATAAATACATAAATAATAAAATAATCACTTTTGTATCCTTATATAAAATAGCCATGAGAATATCTTAGGAACATTCCATTCAAAGCAACATCAAAAAATTACCTCCTACTTAAGATGAGTGGTAGTTGCCTTTTGGAATTCATGCAGGAGTGCATGTACAAGTACGTGTGTGAAAGAAAGTGGAATGAATCTATTGGTATTTACTCTTAAACTGTTCTCCTCAAGGTTTAACATTTGTAAAAGTAATACTGGCTTATTATTTTCCCCTTTCTATTTTCCCCTTCTGTTATTTGTCGGGAGCCGTGGAGTTTTCCTAGTTCTCTCTGCAAGATGAATCTAACCACCTTACCTTTACAGAAAGCTAAAGTCCACCTCCTTACTGACTGATAAGGAACTGATAATGAAAAGGGCATTTCTATTCTATCCAATACTCTCTGGGAGCAGTTGAACAGAGAAAATGGGTAAGATTAATAGGACAATAATTAGTGAGAAGGCTCTGAGCCTTACTGATTTCAGAGACATTTTTATTTATTGAACATGTTGTAAAATGGAAAACAAGAGATCCAGGCAGCTCATTCTCTGGGCCCCTGACCATGAATGTTGCCACCACCATTCTGGGATGTGGAGAGAAATGCAAGGAAAAGAGAGCAGAGCCAGTTGTGGCCTCTGATTACGGACTGAAAAAGGACTCATCAAAGTGAACAGGTAAGCCATGTTCACAGCGAACAACAATGTGTCTGAACCCTGCGGTAGCTCTATACTGGCACGGAGGCCAAGGGGACCCTCCCCTATGCCTGCAGGTGGTGACCTGGAAAAGAGACTTGCTTAGTCTTAAACCTTCTCCGTAAGGTTCTCCATTATTTCCACAGATGGCCTTGATGTTGTTCTTGTTGTCATGAATAAAGGTGTTGGTGTCTTTGCAGGGTGTGGTCAGGCCTCTTCTCTTCATCATGATTTCACAGTATTTGTCATTCCGGCCCCATGGTTTGGCATCATAGTGCTTGGTCAGGAAGCTTCTGTACCTAGGGTCATCCTGAGCCAGGGCTGGTGGGGTCAGACCCAGACCCAGCATGCAGACCAACAACAGGGAGCCCAGGCCCACCATCATCTCTTCCAGTAAAGGGTCCTGCCAAAGGCAAAAGGAGGTGTGGTAGGGGTATAGAAGAGCATTGCCCGATCAGGCTAAAAGTACAGGGACCTTCCTCTCTGACATGAATCAAGTATCTTCAGTCACCTAATTACATCTTTTCTTTTCTCTTCCTCATTAATCTCAAACTTTTCGTCAATCTGTTTCTTTGGAAAGTCTATTTAAAAGTTTCCTGAGGGGCGCCTGGGTGGCTCAGTCGGGTAAGCGTCTGCTTACAGCTCAGCTCATGATCCCAGGGTCCTGCATGGGGCTCCTTGCTCAGCAGGGAACCTGCTTCTCGCTCTCCCCTGCTCGTGCTTACTCTCTCTCTCTCTCTCTCTCTCTCTCTGACAAATAAATAAATAAATAAATCTTTTAAAAAAAGTTTCCTGAACACAACTTCATGTGCCATCCATATTTTTCTATCCCTCAGAATTGGTGAGTATTTATTTACCATATTGTAGCATTACAAAACCCATTCACACTCTTTCACTCATTTATCAGTTACTGTAGTAACAAATTTTACACAAGCCCTTGCAGGTATCAGACCACTGTGCTAGGTCCAGAAACACAAAGACCATCAAGACACACCAAATGCCTCCCTAAAAGAGGATGTAGCATCCACGGAGAAGGGATGGGAGCTCCAATTTCCTCAGATGAGACAGTAAGATAAGAGGTGAGAGCTTTGAAGAAGGGGGACTTTTAGGGAACCCTGAGCCCAGGGAAGGCTCAATCAGAGGACTGTTGAAGACAGGATTCTGGGTAATCATGATAGTTAGTCGGCGGGCTGTGAGGAGAGCATTTGAGAGCAGTTTATCTTCAGGTGAAGGGAGGCAGCCCTAGTTTCCCAAGAAGTAGATGTTTCATGGCCAAAGGTGCAATTATGATGTACCATTGAGAAAGAGCAGGGAGAAACATGGAAGAACCCATGTAAAGTTTACAAGTGGTTCTGGGGTGAACTCTTACAAAGGACTGGAAAAAGAAGGATAAAAGCTTATTCCTAGGTGCCTCTTACATTGGAAACACCTTGGATTATTCTCAAAGAATATTACCTAATTTTCCCTGCACATGTATATAGACTGAACACCACAGGCAAATGACGTTACCATGTGGTAAAAACAAAACAAACCCCAAAACAACTCCTTAGACCTTTTTTAATTTTTTCTAAGTAAACTCTATGCCACACATGGGGCTCAAACTCACAACCCTGAGATCGAGTCACATGCTTTACCAACTGAGCCAGCCTGGCCCCCCTCCTTAGATCTTTTCATCAAGTCAAAGGCTTTACAACTTGCTGCAATGATTTCTCAAATCTTTCTCAAAAGAAGAAGAAAGAGAAGAGGATTGCTGCCATTATCTCTCAGGAAAGAGCTGTCAGTCTCAAACTCTAGAACTCCCACATCCCTGGGGTGGTGTGCCAGATACTCAAACACACCCACAGGGTAAACATGGTACTTCTTCCTGGAGCATGATTTTAACTCAGTGATGGATAATTAAAAATGGAATTAAGCAAATACAGATTATAACAAAACAGAGAACAATTTTTTTATGAACTTTTAAGTCTTATTTCTTATGAAATTTGAAGATTTGAGAATTGAAAGATACTTGGTATTTGGAGCAGGTAGTTTCTGATTATACTTTTAGTTCTTTGGAGAAAATTTTAAAGAATATTCAGAGCTTTTAAAAACCACCGTAGTCCATGCTTGCTTTGGCAGCCCATATGCTTAAACTGGAATGACAAAAATCACCATACGCCTATACATTGTATCAAATATATGTGAATACCCCCACATTCAACAATAAAAATTATTTTCACTGTAAATTTGAAACCAATTTTATAGAGTGTCTGGGTGGCCCAGTCAGTTAAGTGTCAGACTCTTGATTTTGGCTTAGGTTATGATCGCAGGGTTGTGAGACTGAGTCCCCATGTTGCCTCAGCTCCATGCTCAGTGTGGAGTCTGCTTAAGATTCTCTCTCTCCCTGTGCCCTTATCCACCTCTCTCCCTATCAAAAAAGAGGGGGGGGGATTGATTTTTATAATTTTGTTTCTCAAATTGTTTGTTAGTAATTCATTTAATTTATGACTGGGTAGGGTGTTTTTTGGCAATCATCACACATACTTAGAAATTCTTGCAAGGGAAAAAAATTTGACCTTCAAATTATTCTTAAATGTAATATAATTCCTATGAGTACTAAATTTAAAAATAAATGGTATATTTTCATAGACATTAAATTATTAATTTTTATTTTGTGCTTTCCTGGGCACCTGGGTGGCTCAGTTGGTTAAGCAACTGCCTTTGGCTCAGGTCACGATCCTGAAGTCCTGGGATCAAGTCCCACATCAGGCTCCCTGCTCAGCAGAGAGTCCGATTCTCCCACAGACCTCTCTCCTCTCATACTATCTCTCTCTCAAATAAATAAATAAAATCTTAAAAAAAGAATAATCTATTTTGTGTTTTCTTGTGAAAGTCATAACCACGATTTTCATATCAAATAAAATTTTTTAAAGATTTTTTTTTTATTTATTTGAGAGAGAGAGAGATTGAGAGGAGGAAGGTCAGAGGGAGAAGCAGACCCCCTGCTGAGCAGGGAGCCTGCTGTGGGCCTGGATCCCCGGACTCCAGGATCATGACCTGAGCTGAAGGCTGTCGCTCAACCAACTGAGCCACCCAGGTGCCCATATCAAATAATTTTGTAGCCGTCGCAGAGGCCATAGGTTCTAGCACTAGGCCTGCAGGGTTGCTAAACAGTACTGGGAGTATGACTGTGCATCCAGAAAAACAAGGGAGTCTGGGACTTTGCTGGTTACATGGAAAGACATGTGACAATAGTAAACAAAGTGAGCTCTCTTATCAACATTTGGCATTGATTTGCCTTGTCTGTTTCATAATAACTATAAACAAATTTGGTACACTCCTAAGAAATCTTTTGACTATTCCACAACACTGATGTAAGTAACAGCTGAAAAGGTTTCCATTAAGCACTTAGCGTATCATTTGCAACAGAATCAAGTGAAATTGCACTTAGCAAGAAAGTGGTATACAACTGCAGGGGGGAGAGTCACCCCTAAAAGACTAACAAGTATTCCTACAGGGCTGCTGCTCCAACACAGCTGCTCCTGTCCCGCTACCCTGCTGCCAAGCTCTTTACACTTCTATTGTGCTTCCCAGGCTCCTGGGTGTGTTCTCTTTTTTTAGTTTTTTGGAAGATCTCATCAAAGTTTTATTGATTTGGAATCAACTAAGTTTCTTGCTCAGAAATAGACAAATATTGCCTTCTTTTTTTTTTATAAACATATAATGTATTATTAGCCCCAGGGGTACAGGTCTGTGAATCGCCAGGTTTACACACTTCACAGCAACTATTATCTTCTAAAGTCGAAGGTAACTGTAGAATTACAGGATCTCAAGATCCAGTGCACCTTCAAAGAGTTCACACAGTCGGCACATCTCTTGCAGAGTCAGAGTCCCAAGAGTTTAAAAAAAAAAAAAAAAAAAAATCAGGAAATAGAACCAGAACTGGTAGTACCCCCAGAGAGTCCCTAGGTGGCAGTGGTGGATAGGGATGTTCCCAACCATTCAAGGCTACGGAAGAGACCTTGGGTAGATGTGCCGGTATTACACAGGTTGTGGGGATACTGCTGCTCACAGAAGGGAGTGTGAGCCCACAGGTCTACCTAGAGTCTCTGTCCAAACACTCTATGCTTTAGATATTAAGATGAAGGACACTTCACTAAATATAAGTGTCAAAGCAAAAATCACAAAGCTGATCTGTCCACAAGGACATAATCAAATAAAGATTTACCTGTTGTCAGTTTTCATAGGTGCCATTTCCACTATTATCTATGTGGTCTTGGGCAAACAATGACCTGTTTACTTGTCAGTGTTTCCTACTGGTGTGTAATCAGTAGGAGGACAGAGCCCCTGCCTCATGGTAGGCCCTCAATAATTATGTTTTTAATGATTGACTTCATTTTCCCCCCCAGGCCTAAATTTGTTCATCTGTAGAAAGAGAGTTGCTATCAGTTAAGGCCTGAAATTCCGTAGTTCTCATTAAGCATAAAAGCCTTTTCCTTTCCTTTCCTTTTCTTCCACTTGAATTGAGAGACAAGTAAGTTACTTGTGTAAGTTTAGTTTGGTGGCAAAAGGCACCAGCCAGAAGAAATAGCTAATAGATTGACTGAGAAGCATCATTCTTTAAGGCTCAGCAGGTAAGCCAAGCCCACAGACCACCTCTAATTAAGACACTAGACTGACACTACATAGGCTCTTCATATCCTAAAAAAGCATTTGCTTGTTGGAGGTTGAAGGTCCTCACATCTCAGTCTTAGAGGTTAAAGAATATCTTTGTTTCTGATTTGCAGAATTTGCACATTCATTCTGTAATAATTCAGCTAAGGTTCGTCCAGGCTTATTATAATCTTAATTTCCTAAGACATCCAGAAACCAAATGCCAGCAAGTATACACTAGGGTTACCAGTAACAACATCTGCTCTGCCATTCATAACTTCCTTACTTATATATTCCATACGAAATTTCCCAAAAGTGGGAGTTGAAACGGAATTGGGAGAAAACACGTAAGACATTATATGGGGTGCAGAAGTGAATCTGCCTAGGCCAAGTGTGCAGAGCCTCCTATCTGGTGGTCAAATTCATTCACACATACCTTTCTACACCTAAGCACATAACTGTCAGATTTTCATCGCTGGCATTTGTCCCACAACTTGTTTTTTAGACGAACTTCACCTTCTGTCTCAAACCAGTCCCTTAGTCTTCACAAAAATTAAAATACTCTTTCTCTCCCCTTAGACAATGTTTTGTATTCAAAAGATCCATCAAACTTTATACACCAGGGAGTTAACTTGATAGTTTATGATTATGACTATGAATACAACTTCCATTAACATAGCCTCATGCTTTTATATGTTCTAGGGCAATATTATCCAAACTGAAAGCTTACCACCCAATGCATATTCCTCTATCTCCTTCCTTCTTTCTTCTCTTCAAACTGACATTATACCTTTTTTTTTTTTAACCTTGGCATGTGTTGTTCCATTGTGTTTTCAAAGAGCATCCAAAACTTTAAGGAAAGAAATTAGTGGAAAGGTTTACAAGAAAACAGAGCTAAAAGTATATTCTCTGTTTCTTTCCTTGCTAAGTCACATAAAATGTCAGGGCAGGGAGCTCCAGATAACCCTCTAGCAGATGCTTTTCCTAGATCTTTGGGGACTTTACCACAATTTAGGAATCCCTCCCAAATCACCACTTGCTCCCAGTCTTACTAATTTCCCTTTATCCACGTTTAGGCTATCCCAGAAGAAATCTGTTTGCATTTTAAACTTTAGAATCTAATTTGTTTCTTTCTTAATTCATGAACTTGGGCCAAGAGTTTTTAAAAGGGAAAAAATGGTTTCATTGAAATGGATGGATGTCTAGAAATAGTATACATATATAAACAAATAGAGAAATGGGTTACCCAGGAGGAAGAGTCTTACAGAAGTCTGGAAGTTTCCTTCCAACTGAAGATGGGTTCCAGCTGTTGGTTCCTGGAGATGGGTTCCAGCTGTATGAACCTGGAGGTCCCTCTCGGTTCTGATTATATAGTGATCAGACAAACGGGGAGGGAAGACTAGGTCTAAAGATCCCCGATGCTGGCAGAGACATGAAAACCAAGGACACTGCACTTGGACAAACAAAGAGAGTCATTCACCTTTCCCTGGGCAAGACTGGGTCGAACATTAACCCACATGAATTAGAGATTTGTTCTGGGAGGCCAACTTTGATAAACATGGTCTTTTGTCCCACAGTTGCCTTTTTCTGATGCCTATGGTGCCGACTCCTACCCATAACAAGACATGCAGTGATCTGGATCCAGAAGATATTGTTTCTGATCTTATGGTCCATCTCTAAGAACTGTGTTGGAGGAAGCCTGCAGAGTAAGATGTGGCCTCCCAGCAGGATGCTGTCCCACTGTCCTCTGTTTTTACCCACATAATTTGGTTTTACAAAAAGATGCTAAGTAGACTCTTCCATGGATTGCACAGAACCAGGAAAGCATTCCTAGAGAAGGTTATATGACAGCTCTTAGTACCCTGCCCCTGCCCTCAACCTTCCAACCACTAACCCCCAGAAGTTTCCTTGCCTTATTTCAAGGGCTTCTCGTTCCTTTCATCCTTACCTGTTCACAAGAGATTAATCCTCAGCACTCAATCTTCTGTTCCTTGTAAAGTAGATGTAAAATTGGTTATCTCCACCATCAGTGCAACCCTGGTATTGCATCTACTCACCAAGTGGCTCTGTCGCTCAAATAGAAACAAGCCAACTGGGTCAAAGTTTACTGGGGTCACTTTATAAAGATCCTACGGTTTCAAATATCAGGCAGTGCAGGATGCCAACTGTTTCACAGACCCTCAGTAACCACTCCGCTGCTGCTGAATCTCCAAGAGTGCTATTTTTTAAAAAATCCTCAACCCTCGGTTGCCATCCATCCACCTTCAAGTTTTCAGTCTGCCTGTCTCTGAGGTGTCAATCCAGACTGGCGTCCTGCCAATAAAATAACTGGACTTGAAATCATCCTAATAATTATAATCATAATAATAGTCATTGCCTTTCATTTTATGAAACTCTCACACACTTGATTATATTTGACCATCACCAGGACTGTGTGAGGTAGGTGTTACGGAAGTCAGTTTTTCTCATGAAAGAAACTGCCAGTTCAAACAACAGAAGGATAGTCCAGTCGGACTTCAAACTCCTTGTCTTCAGGGAGAGGATCTACTCATCTTTCCACACTCGGCATGAGCAACACCACCTCTGAGTCTGACAGGCTCTCCTCAATCCCAACCCATCCCAGGAGAAGGGGCCCACATCTTCCTTGGAGGATTCTCTGTACCCAGTACACACCAGGCTGAGGCAAGCACGGAGCCACAGTCCCAAGCTAACAGCTTATGCTGCGTTGCCTCTAGACTTCTGACGTGCCCTGGTGTGTGTGAAAAGCTGGTGAGTCAGCCTGAGTGAAGCCTATCTGTGTAAGAGTTTGTGATGTCCCGGGAAAGGATTCATCCATAGAGAAGGACATGATGAGAGGAGGGAGAAGGATGCCAAGGCTATGGAGCAGTGTCAGGCCAGGACTACAGTGTGCTCTGCTCACATCCCCTCTGACCCCGCCTCCTGGGGCCTAGAGGAAGGAAGGCACGGCAGTAACAACTTTCATAAAAATCAAGGTTGTTTCATTAAATCTCTATAAGGTTCAGAAAGCATACAGCAAGTTAATGTGAAGGAGCTCACTCCATGGTTGACCAGAGGTGGTATAGGGGTGGGGTGGGAAGTAAAGCACCTTCCCCACCGTGAGGATCCCTTTGGTTCAGATTGAGGCACGTCTGGACAAGAGCTAGAACAACAGGTCAGACCATTTGCTCTATCAAAAAGGAAGAGGATGGGGCACCTGGGTGGCTCAGTGGGTTAAAGCCTCTGCCTTCGGCTCAGGTCATGATCCCAGGGTCCTGGGATCTAGCCCCACATCGGGCTCTCTGCTCAGCGGGGAGCCTGCTTCCTCCTCTCTCTCTGCCTGTCTCTCTACCTACTTGTGATCTCTATCTGTCAAACGAATAAATTAAAAAAAAAAAAAAAAGGGAAGAGGACACTGCGTGTTGGCACCTTCAGACATTTTTAGCAGCACGGGCCGGGTGCAGGGATAAGCCTCACCCAGGGAGGCAGAGCAAAAAGAAGTAAATGGCAGCTTCTCTGTCTGGGTTAAAGGGGCTAGTTTGCAAATATGTTTACACCCCCTGGGAACTTCAGAAATGCTCAGAGAAGAATGTGAGCTGATCTGGAGTTCTTACAGCATGGGTGGGATGGATCTGGCTTTACTTTAGGTTGGCAAACACGCCATTAGCCATCATCTTTTGATGATTAATTAATCTTCTTGTCTCTCCATTAGATGGAACCCTTAGAGAGAAGAATAATTATGTCACTCATCTCTGCATTCTTAGTATCTCAAAGAGTGGCTGACTCCTAGGCCCCAAGTTGTTCTTGTTAGCCCTCAGTGCTTCTAGAAAGGTGCCATCTGGTCTCACTTTGGAGATCCCAACCATACAGATTCTCCTGGCTTCTGTTAAGACTTGCAGGCACAATTGGGTTTCGCAGCAGTTACCAAACAAGGTAGGCCTAATTCCCAGGTAGAACTGGAAGGCTTCCAAAGTTCCCAGGAAAACTCTTCTTCTGGCATTAGTGGTAAATCCTGACCTTCATTTCTTAGGTATTAGTCCCTATTCTAATGTAAAAATCTATAGGAGGATTAACTCCTTAAACAGGCTGTGATTCACACATGCTTGTACATGAGCTGTAGAGGCTGTCCTAAGAATGGTTTTTGGAGGGGGTGCCTGGGTAGCTCAGTTGGTTAAGGGTCTGCCTTGGCTCAAGTCACGATCCAGGGGTCCGGGATCAACCCCCACATAAGGCTCCCTGCTTGGTGGGAAGTCTGCTTCTGCCCCTCCCTACTGACATACTCTCACTCTCTCTCTCAAATAATTATAATCTTAAAAAAAGAATAGATTTTGGTAGCTGGAGTGGCTTGAGGATTTGAGGAGGAGGAAAAGTAGACAGCATGGCAAACCCGGAAAAGACAAACTTCAGTGGCTTTTCAGCTGTGGTAAGGCACAGTTCTGCCTACGCTTCGCTTTTTTCCCCTGCCCTCTTCCCTTTTTCCTACATCTCCACCCAAATTCTGAGCTAAAAGGAAAAAAGTCTGAGGAAGTGAAAAAAGGACCAAGCACACAGCCACAAACTACCTCTCCCTCAGTACCTGGTGCCTCAGAGTTACTGAAGTCTCTGGAAAGGAAGGGACAGGTGTTTCTGCCCATACAATTGTTCTGCCAAACACCAAAGTTCAAAGTCCTTTAGGTACAGAGAGATTATTCAACAAGACATGGGGCTCGCTGAGTGGGGTCTCTACTGATATATAACAGAGCACCCGAATGCGGACTTTCCTTTTGTGGGCAAACCCTAACTATTTGAGTAGTACCTATTTTAAATTAATAATATATCACTTTTTTAAAAGAGGCTGAAGAACTGAATTCTAAAGAGATACAAGCCTGTCGTTTGGTGGGGAAGACACTGCCAGGCCCATACAACACCCTTAAGACCTCAGCAATCCCAGACTACAGAAGAAGCTGCCAACTCCCACAGTCTGTGGGGATCAAGATGACTTGAGCAACAGGCTCGAGTAAATCTCTGGTAAATCACCTGAAGGCAGAGATAAGGTACTCCATTCCAGCATCACACACACATACACACACACACACAGTCCCATGGCTTGAAACACCAATTCAAATACCAACTCACACAAACAGATCAGCTTCTGATGTTAGCTTTATGCTGTGGTGCTGGGGAGCAGCCTCTAGCGTCTGAACACAGCCAGGTCACTTTCTGGCCTCTGGGATTTCACTTGACAACTTGGGGAGAATTCACAGCCTCCCCCACGCAAAAAACCGGTTAGGTGAATGGTGAGTGGTTAATTGGAAAAAAAGTTTGACTATTTCATTAAAATGCCTCTAAGTGCTTATTCATTTGTACTGCAAACTACCTAAAACAAGGAAAAATATATATATACATATATATATGTATATATATAAAAAATCTTCAGTAATTTTAATAGGTGTAAAGCAATTGTCAATTGAGAAAAGGCCAATCATATATATTTTTTAAATGTTTTGACAGCTTCAACTTAAAAGTCATCATCCTTTTCCTGAAAATTTTCCTGTGTCTCTTCTTCACACCTTGCACATAGACACAGGCAGCCCAGGGTTCTTCTTCTAAGGACTCAAGTGCTGGTGTCCTTTACCCTTTATACAGAGTACATATGTTTAATTCTGTCCTAAGACAAATTATAAAATTAGGTGATGTAGAGAAGAGACTAATTTTTTCATTTGTTTGAACTCTAACATTTTTTTTAGGTTTATAAGCATGAAATTAATTTACTAACAGAACTAATGGTTAAAAGAGGATGAAGATCCAATGAAAAGAAGGATAACATCTCCAGGAGTGGGAGACACTATGACTAAGGGAGAATGGGCCAAAGTCTTGTTGACATGCCTGTGTGTTTTCAAACAAAACAGAAGTTACACATTCACTTTTCAACAAACTGAGCTTTGTGCCCATTCTCTTTCCCAGATTTCAAGGTGTTCTGCTGAGAATAACTGTTAACAGAGATTGCTCTTCACTCAAATACAGATTAAATGAAAACTTTTTTTTAAGATTTTTTTATTTATTTGACAGAGAGAGAGAGAGAGAGAGATCACAAGTAGGCAGAGAGGCAGGCAGAGAGAGAGGGGGAAGCAGACTCCCAGCTGAGCAGAGAGCCCGATGTGGGGCTCAATCCCAGGACCCTGAGATCATGACCTGAGCCAAAGGCAGAGGTTTAACCCACTGAGCCACCCAAGCACCCCTAAATGAAAACTTTTAATGAGGAGTTTCATTGGCCTGCTTCCGCCCACTTTCTTAGCCATCTACTTTAATTTCTGAATCACATGGGCAAATGCTTCCAACAATAACTTGACAAATCTCTTACCTTT